GTGACCCAGACCTGTAACCCCACTATGTATGCACTACGGAGGGCAGAGCTGGATGATCCCTGGGGCTTCCTGCTCTTCAGCCTTGATCCCGGTTCAGGGAGAGACCCTGTCTCAGGGGAATACAGCAGAGGGTCATACACCAGAAAACCAGCCTTACACACACCCGCACACACACATGTGTTTATCACATACAGAGTTTTCAAGTGATAAATATATAGCCAAGAGACAACTGATAATATTGATAATTCTTACTAATAAAGTCCCTGAATTGGAAATTGTTGATGTGTCTTATGTCTGTAGTCTTTATATCTGCAGATTTCTCTTTCTTTTTGTCTTTTTTCTGTGTTTTTTGTTTGTTTTTGTTTTGTTTTAAGAAGGTAGATAACCTGTTCTGTAATTTGTCCTCAGGGTGGACTGTGCTGTGCCTCCCTGTGTAGTTTAGTATGTTGTGAATTCTTGGCTGTGTATCATGAGTAGTTTTCCATGTTACTATTTCTTTTTTTTTATTATTAATTACACTTTATTCACTTTGTATCCCCCATAAGCCCCTCCCTCCTGCCTCCCAATCCCACCCTCCCACCCCCTTCTTCACCCATGCTCCTCCCCAAGTCCACTGATAGGGGAAGTCCTCCTCTCCTTCTTCTGATCTTAGTCTATCAGATCTCATCAGGAGTGGCTGCGTTGTCATCTTCTGTGGCCTGGTAAGGCTGCTCCCCACTCAGGGGGAGGTGATCAAAGAGCAGGCCAATCAGATTATGTCAGAGGCAGTCCCTCTTCCCATACTATGTAACCCACTTGGACACTAAACTGCCATGGGCTACATCTGTGCAGGGGTTCTAGGTTATCTCCATGCATGGAACTTGGAGTATGAGTCTCTGGGAAGACCCCTGTATTCAAATTTCTGGTTCTGTTGCTCTCCTTGTGGAGTTCCTGTCCTCTCCAGATCTTACTATTTCCCACTTCTTACATAAGATTCCATGATATGGCCATGTTACTGTTTCTAAACTGTCATCTTTTCCTTTTTTTTTTTTTATTTTATTATGTGTTTGGATGCTTTGCCTACATATATGTTTTTGTACTGCATGTGTGCAGTGCCCGTTGAACTGTGTGGAATTACAAATGTTTGGTAGCCACCATATTGGTGCTGGGAATCAAACCTAGGTCTCCTGGAAGAGCAGGCAGTGCTTTTTTTTTTTTAATTTTTAAAATTATTTTATTTTTATTAATTGCCATCTATTCACTTTGTATCCCACCTGTAGCTCCTTCCCTTTTCCCCTCCCAATCCTACCCTCCCTCCTTTTTCTCTCCCCATGCCCCTCCCCAAGTCCACTGATAGGGGAGGTCCTCCTCCCCTTCCTTCTGATCCTACTCCATCAGGTCTCATCAGGAGTGGCTGCACTGTCTTCCTCTGTGGCCTGGTAAGGCTGCTCCCCCCTCAGGGGGAGGTGATCAAAGAGCAGGCCAATCAGTTTATGTCAGAGACAGTCCCTGTTCCCATTACTAGGGAACTCACTTGGACACTGAACTGCCATGGGCTACATCTGTGCAGGGGTTCTAGGTTATCCGTCAGTGCTCTTAATACAAAAGCATTTCTCTAGTCCTTGGCCAAGCCAAATTTTGTTTGTTTGTTTATTTGTGGGGAGTTTGTTTTTGTTGCTTTGTTTTGGGGGAGGTTGTTTTCTTGTCTGAGACAAGGTTGGCCTGGAACTCATAGAGCTATACCTGACTCTGGCACCACACCTAGCTACAAGGATACACTCTGTTTTTGTAGAAGTGGTTTTGTCATCAACTTTGGGGCTGATTGATGGCTATATGTTTTAAGAATTCTAGGAAGATATATACTAGGAATACCTTATACAGAAAGGTTGTATGTAACATTTTCAGGATTTTTTTTAAGCCTTTGTGAGCATTAGAGTATAATTCTTATTAGCAAAAGTGTTCTTCTGCTGTTAATTGCCTTTCCTTTGGGGCTAGTGGTTGGCTCTCTTTTTCTACCATATATAACTTTTTGGCCTTGTATTTTGTAAAAAATCTGTTCATGTCAGTCATTTGATTAATAGCTATTCATTGCTTACCCAGTGCCAGACATGATACCTAAGGCAGATGAGCCTGACCCTTGAGAAGCTTAGAGATTAGTTAACAGTGACACAGTAAGTATGGAAAGGTATAAATAAAGAAGCTAATTCCTTGAGCTAAAATAAGGTGCTATGGTTGAAAGAGGTTGAAGACTACTTCAGCCAAGGTCATGGTGTCAGGAGACTGCTCAAAGCAGATGGCACTGGCCTGAAACTTGAATGATAGCACAGTCATAGAATACTCTGGGGGAAGACCATTCCAGGTAATCACAAGCAAGGTCAATGTTCTGAAGTAAGAACAGAGAGCAAACTCAAAGATAGAGGACAGGCCAGCATGGTGCCATCAGTGTGAACTAGTTCCCACTGGAATGAAGTGGCTTCCAAAAATAGGACTGGATCATAGATTTCCCAAGGACTGTGATAAA